TTATTTTTATTCTGATAACCAGCCACATGGTTTTAAGTATCCAGTTCATAGTAAAAAAAAAAAAAAAGGGGGGGGGGGGGGACAATATATATTAAATGTTTTACTCCCACAAAATTAGATCTTTGAAGGATTTATCTGTTCCTGAATAGGATTCTTTTGTGTCCTTACCTTGGAAAGGTGGTAAGAATATGGCTGATAGACCTGGCTTTAATTTACTTTGAGTTCCACAGATCTCCCAGGATCATCAAAAATGTGATATTTGAGTTGTTAACCCACTGTGGGCAAAAATGTGGTTTTGAATAGACATAAGGCCTATAAAAGGGAAGCCATTGTAGGATTTGGAATTTATATCCTCAAAAGACTCTAGAACTCAAAGATACATGAACCTACCTATGTTCAGGGCTGGTAGTATAGTTTAAACTTCAATATTAGGCCAGCATAGCAGAGCCAAGACCTGTTAGATGCACTAACCATTTCTCGCTTGTACCCTTTTCTCTACACTTTCTGTTTTCTGAGGCCTCATCTCACAATTAATTTCAGATCTCTGTCCTATAAGAAATTCCCTCAGTACATGGTACTTCCCCAAGATAACTGGACCCACCATTTTCTTCCTATGCTTGGTTCCAGATAGAGTACAGGTTTTGATTCAAATGAGAAAGGTTCAGTCTTTGAGCAAAATAACTTCCCTTTTCAAAAGCAAGTCAAAAATTTTTAACTTTTATTCACATTTATTTTATGCTGCTTGAATTTACTCCTAGGTCATAAGTTTCTTCTTTTTCTTCTGTGCAACCTCCTCTCTGATTTAGAAACAATCTGTTCTTTTGCAGTAATGATCATCTTAACGTGGCAGGAGAGCTCATGTATGGGTCAATCCGCCTGTGAGCTCTGTAAATTCTGCGCCACATCTTGGGAGCTTTGTTCACCTTGGTGTGCTCAATGACCAGAGAATTTGTAACTACACCATTAAGTTCAGCATTTCTGTCTACATTTTTAAGCATGTGCAGCAAAAATTCAGCATTCTTTTTGAGCCACTGACTCCTTAGTCCAGCCCCACTCTTTGGCCTGGGCACACCTACCAACTCCCCCATTGTAATGACAGAATGGCACACATGGCTTCTATAAAGTGACATCCTTCAGATACTTGGTGGCTTTTCAGATATGCATACTACTCTTGATTGCCTGGGCAGATTCACAAGTGTTTTTAAAATGAACACAAAGATTTGAGCCTCCTGATTTGCATTTAGTGAGGGGTTTTGTGTCAAGTGATTAGCGAACTTTTTTCAGAGGCCACCTCAGGCCACTTTTGGGAAGAGGAGGAGGCTTTGCTTTTTGAGAAGCAGCATAGTGGAACAGAAAGAGCTTGAATTAGGGAATGAACAGATGTGGGTTTAAATCACAGTTCTGCAACTTGCTATTATTATTTGAGATCAATTCCCTATTTTGAAATGAGAATCTCTCATAGTTTTTTTTAAGAATTTGATGAGCTCATCTATGCAAAGATTCTAACATATCATTTGACATGCAGTAGGTGGCCAGTGAATGTTCCTTCTTACCAGGATGGGTGGTGTCAAAATATTCTAGTCCAAAGAAAATCCCAAGATAATTTGCAAATTTCTCCATAGCTAAGTTTGCCTCATAGACACTTGGAACTGCGTGTTGAGTTCACATTTCATTTTTATTGATTCATTTTAGCTAGCATATATATTAAGCACTTCCTACGTGCTAGGCTTTATGCTATGCAATTTACATTCATTATTTAATCACCATAAATTCCCTATGATGTACCATACTATCCCTTTTGATAGCTAAAGAGTGCCAAAGCTCAAATTTGAACTCGGGTCAATCCACTCCAGAGCTCATGATTTTAGCTATCAGATTCTGACCTCTCTCATTGAAAGACCTAATCCAGAAAACTCAAAGGAGAACCACTGCCTTTGATCATCTAAGTTTCATCAGGGACCTGTAGAATACTCCAGAGCCTGGAGCTCATCCATATGAACTTCTTTATATGACACAATTTCACTTCATTATATTACATGGCAACTCTAAGATTAAAGACCTAAAATGTACTTTATTTTCCCATGTTTGATATTATCCAAATAATATTTCTGGGATTATAGCATTTAATACCTCTTTCTGGCAGTATTAAACACCAATACCCTAAAGGATCATTCATGCAGTGTTAAAGATAGGACTTTGGCAAGAGGGGAAAATTTTGATTGTGATCTTTACAGAATCAGGAATAGTTTAGGGATCTGATTTTGATAGCATTGTGTATGAAAGTATGTAAGCCTCTATCTTTGACAATACTGATAGATTTTCAAACAAACTATCTCTGAAATAAAAGTTTTAACCTCAGAGAATATTTCCTAGGTACAGGAACTATGTACCCCAAATTGTTATACAACATAATATGCGCCAAGTTCATATATAAGGAAACGTTATTTTTCTCCCAAGGCTGACTAAGGGTTGAAATCTATCCCATAAGGGAGTTCTATGGCAGTACCCAAAGGAAAACACACGTCTGCCTCACAGCCCACAGAGAAATCCATAGGAAAATATGAGAGATGTGTTTGGAACATTAGTTCACAAATCTGACTGCCTTTCATAGCACTGGTGGAAGTTTGGATTCAAGAACAATGTGAAACCAGAGTGCCTATAGTTTATAGTCATCACTTTGCTTTGTTGGTTCCTGCTAACCCTGAACTCCAGTTTTGTGAAATCTGATAAATATGATGGAATCTACTAAATATTCTGTGTAAGTATATCCTAAGTAGAGTAATCTGAGGGCAGACTTTTGCAATGACTTAGAGCTTTCATTTGACCACATTATTTTATCATTTTAAATAGTGAGTATGTACTGAAGTATACTTAATAATAATTGTAAAATGCTGAGTGTATGGTAGCTGCTCAATGGAATATTGATTTATTGACCAATTTCTCAGAGTGCTAATGATGCTTTTATGTTGTTTTAAATTTTTATTGAATTTATTGGGGTGACATTGGTTTGCAAAACCATACAGGTTTCAAGTGTAAAACTCAGTAAAACATCATCTGCACATAGCATTGTGTGTCCATCACCCCAAGCAAAATCTCTTTCCTTCCCCATTTTCCTCCTCTTTGCCCATTGCCCCCCCCCACACTTTCCCTCTGGCTATCACCACACTGTTGTCTGTGCCAATGCGTTATATACAGATGGGTTTTTTTGCTTAATTCCTTCACCTTGTTTCATCCAGTTGTCAGTCTGTTCCATGTATCCAGGCTTCTGTTTCTATTTTGTTCATCAGTTTATTTTGTTCATTAGATTCCACATATAAGTGAGATCTTATGTTATTTGTCTTTCTCTGACTGGCTTATTTCAGTCTCCAGGTCCATCCATGCTGCTGCAAAGGGGAATATTTCCTCCTTTTTTATGGCTGAGTAGTATTCCGTTGTGTAAATGTACCACAGCTTTTTTATCCATTGCAGAAGTCTGCAATCAAGGTATCTGTATGTCCATGCCCCCTCTGAAGGCTCTAAGGGAGGAAACTTTCCTTGTCTCTTCTAGCTTCTGGTGGTTGCCAGAATCCTCAGTGTATCTTTGCTTGTAGCAGCCTAACTGCCGTCTCTGGTTCTGTTATAATATGCCTGTCTTCTCTGTGTGTCCATGTGCTTCTATTTTCTTATAAGGACACAAGTGATTTGATTAGGGCCTACTCTACTCCACTATGACCTCATCTTAACCTGACTAGTTACATAGGCAAAGACCTTATTTCTAAATATGGTCACATTGTGAGGTTCCAAATAAGACATGAATTTTGGGGGACACTATTCAACCCAGTATAATTATGTAAGGCTTTATCTTATCAGACAGGAGGGAATACCATTTCTTGTTGGCTTGAAAAGTAAGCTCCAGGTTTTGAGAGGGCTTATGAGGAAGCCATAGAGCAAAACTTTGTGGGCAACCTCTAGAAGCTGAGAGCCACCTGCTCCTGGCTGATAGCCAACAAGAAAATAGGGGCCTCCATTTTACAAGCTCAAGGAAATGAATTCTGCCAACAACCAGAGCTTGGAAGAAGATCAAGCCCAGAAATGAACGTAGCCCACTGACATAGTGATTGCAACCTTGCGAGACCCTGAGCGAAAGACCCAGCTAAACCAAGCTCAGGCTCCTAACCCATGCAAACCAGGAAGTAATAAATGTGTATTGTTCTAAGCCACAAAATTTGTGGTAAGTTCTTACACAGCAACAGAAAACTAGTACAAATGGTATAGCGCTTTAAAGGTTTCATCCACTGTATCTCATTTATACCTCCCAAAGCTCAATCCAAAGGCATTTTTTTCAGTTCTGAGTTGTGTAACCCCCCAGCATTTCATTGTATTCACATGCATCACTGGGAATTACATATAGAACATGAGTGTGCTTAGTAAAAATCACGGAACTGTAGTACTCAGAAGAACCTCAGAGATCATATATTTCAATCCACCAGACATAAAAATTAATTCTTGGTCACCAAGGTACCAAGTAGAAAAGGCAAACATGGATCCACAGGTCTCCAGGGATCCAGTCAAAGATGTTTTCAATATTGTAGATCATCACCAACTCACTGGGATCCTTTAAGATCCCTAATATCAAATAAAAAAAAAGAGCTAAAAATAAATCACAAACTTTTAGAAAATGCATATATAATATAGCTTAATAAATATCCATATTCATAACCAGCACTAATTAGCTTCTAGAAAAGGGCCAGTCACATTATAGCACTCAATAAATACAGGGTGGAGCAAAAGTTGGTTTACAGTTGTTTGCATGGAAAACAAAACAATAATTAATAAATAATAATACAAGAATAAACTGTGTTTTGAGCAATCACAACTATAAACCTACGAAAATTATGTTTTCATATACTATCACTGTTATAAAACATAAAAGACATGAACCCATCCCCACATATGTTGATCTGAAGACAGCACAACCCTGTCTGCAAAAGCTATTGCTGCCACATTGTTGTAAGACCCACCTGAGTTTGAATGCAGGCTCTCACATTCATTCACGTGTAAACTTGGGAAATTTCCTCAGGCTCTCAGTTGTCAGTTTCCTCATCTGCAAAATGAAGGTAAGAACAATGACCTCCCACTGTTGCTTTTAGGTTCAAACAAAATAATCAGTGTAAAATGCCTGGCATTTACAGGGTGCTCAAAAAATGTCACTATACTGCCCTTTGTTGATGAATTTAAAAAAATAAAGAACAGTTTTCCACTTCAGCTATTTCTCTGAACTATAATCTATTTCAGAGGCATTTAATGCAAATATACTTTTAATTCTACATTGAGAAACATTTTCTTTGAAAACAATATTCTGTTGCAAGGATTGACTCTTCTTTGGTCTAACCACCCATCTTTCATCCCCTCAACAAGCTCACTAGAAAATTGAAGGCCTAAAAAATCTAGAGAAAAACATTTCCTTTGACTAGGCCTGAATTCATTGACACTTAGGAACCACACACAGGAAAGGAAAAAAAGGCAACAGCTTGAAGATTCTTAAATTAGTCATTGATTAGTTTACATAATTTAGGAGTAGTAATCCAAAACCTGCTTCAAATTAGAGGAGAGCAGAAAAGTGATGTGGAAGTAGTTACTGTTAAACTGGGATTCTTCTGATTGCACTATTTATCAGGTAGTATTTCAGATAATTAAACAGAACTATGAGTAACATGAAAGATTATAGTTATGGTTCATTTTTGCACGGGTCTGTTGAGGCTTAGAAATTATGTACAGGCAGAGTTGGGAAAATTCCAACATAGGCCATAGTGAACTAGGCAACAGCTGCTGAAGAAGGTTTAGCTTAGGCACTGTCCTGACAGCTGCGGAAAAGGCGATATGTGGTCCATACTAAGCTTCACATTAAAAATTAGCAGTAAAATAATTACAAGTTCATTAGAAATGTACTGTCTTGATTTCAAAGCTTAAACAATCTTCCTTGGGGCCATTTGAAGACCATTTTAAAGTTCTTTAATCTCAGCTCAAGAGAATTTATTTTCTAGCAGGTGTGCCTTAAAGCTAAAAATGTAGACATGACTTAAAATCATTTCCATGAGTTTCAAGCACTTCCACATGTTAAAAAAAAAAAAAAGTCATTTCAATGTTGCTTGAAACCCAGAAAAGGTCATGGGGAGAGGAAGCTGTGAAAAACTTAATCCTGCAAATCTCATGACACATGGCATGATGCAATGGGGTTTGGAGCCAGAAGGCTTGGGTTCAAGCCTCTGCTCTGCTAATTACTAAGTAGGAGGTTTGGGTAGAATTAGTGTCCTTTTAAAACTTTAGTATTCTCATCCAATTTGGGAATGATAACACCTACCTTCCAACTATTGTGAGAAGTGACCTACATATAGTGCCTAGTTTGTGGTTCCCAAACTGTGTACCAAGGCACCCCAGGACACTGAAGCACACTTATAGGGTGCTATGGGATATTTCACATTTTCAAGGGAAATACAGCAATATTCAAAATCTGCCAGCCACTGTGTGAACTACTAGCCCAAAGTAGCTCACAATTTCAACATTAGCTCATACTATATTCCTTTCAGCGATGTCATACTTTTGTGAAGCTGAGTTTTGGTAGTTGCTAGACAAAAAGGAAATAAGGGTGAAAATCAGTGTAAAACAGGAAATGAGGGTGGTGGTACCAACCTAATCCCAATGTTGGAGAGGTGTACGGTGCCCAAGAGGTCCACACACTTTTTCAGTAAGTAACTGTAGTTAAGACTAAAATAACTTTTTTCCTTTCAACTAGGTGTATTATTTTTTCTCAAAAAGCTACCAAGTTGTTAGCATATAAATATATTTTCAGTTGTTTGGACCTAACCACTCAAAACTATAGTTATTTATTTATTTTGGCCTAGGGATTCATGCAAAAAATACTGAGATACTGAAAGTGCCATAAATTGAAAAAATTAGAGAACTTCTGCAGTAAGTACCAATAAATTCATTTCCTCTCAGACTTGATGTTCTTTCATATGATTGAACTCTTTCTCTCAAAATTTCGCTAAATTTAGCTTGGTTCTCATTAGTAATGCTCACCACTATTTTCAGACTTTGCAATTTGATGGGGCCATGTGATTGCCTTTGGCCAGTGGGATTTGAAGAGGTGATGAACTCTCCATTCACTCTTCCCCCGTTGAGGCATCTTACTGAGCTGGGAAGACAATCGAGCCTCAAGATCTAAGTAGCTTTATTTCTCAAGTTACTGTAGGAAGACAAATTTTCCTGGAGAGTCAACCTGGACTCACTGAGTCAAGCCAATGAGATTTGGTGGTTTGACTAATACTCAATCTTGTTTCTATTACCCTCTCCACCATTCTCCTAAATATGGTTTTCTTACTCTTTTTGTGACCAACTCTAAAAGATAATTAGGTAATGACTGGTGCTGTAGAAAATGTGGCCTGAATAGAAGCCTGGATGGTGGAATACTCAAAGAACAGTAGTCATCAACAGTGTCAACTAAAACAGCCTGATCATCATGTAATGCCCCAGATCATAAAGTAAAAACCACATTCATTCATTCAATCAATGTCAAGCTATGGTTTATAACATCTTAAAGGTTAAAAAGAAAATTGCAAACATTTAAACAGAATGATTATCTTACTGTATAAGGACATATACAGTAAGATAAAGCTATTTTTCTATAAAATGTCTACATATTGTCTGTATTCTTGGGAATTTGGCCTTATATCACAAATGGGAAAGCAATTCAAACATGTAAACACTTCCATAGTGGGGGGGTTTCTGATTGGTGGAGAGGGCATGGAAGAAGTCATCATTCCCAGTAGTTCCAGAATGAGAGTAGGAGGAGGATGCTTTGAATAAAATTTAAATAAGTTACTCAAATTCTTTGGTTGGCCAACCAAAGAACTTATATGCATATATGCATAACCCATGGACACAGACAACAGAGCAGTGAAGGCCTGGGGCGGGGGCAAGAGTAGGGAGGGGGAGGAGTCAATGGGGAAAGAAAAGGGGGGGACATCTGTAATACTTCCAACAATAAAGATAAATATATAATAAATAAATAAGTTATACTCAATACCTCAGATATTATAAAGAAGAAGAGGCCTACTAGGTGGAAGTCAGAAAAAGGAGAACTGCATTCACTGATTCTTCAGTGTTTATCAAATATCTTAATGTTTATTCCATAAATGCTACCAGCTAACTGGGACTTGGTACCTGATTCTAAATGGCTATTAATCTAGCAAGGAGACAGGCTTGAAAAGACATATCACAACACAATGTGTCAATTACTATAAAAAAACAAGCAGTGCTCTGGAAGATCACAGACTTACAAGAATAAGTTTGCCTACCAGAATCAGTGATATTTGCATCAAAGAGGGAACACTTAAGCTGGAGCTTAAAAGATAAATAGACTGTGTTTAGAAGTGTAAAGTTTTGAGATTTTACCCTATTAGCAAACTAATTATCTTGCAACCGGTTCATGGATGCTGGCAGAAAACATGAGATCCCTAAATCAAACAGAAAGGGCTTTAACTCACAACCATAGTCATAGCCAGAATATGAGCACTTTCTCATACCAATCTACTGAGTCCCAATTCCCATGGATGACCCAAAAAGGGGCAAATAACACTTGCGCGCATAGCAGGCTATATTACAGGGGAGGAACCCTGAGCTTAGGGTGGCCAATTTTTTTTTTTATAATGGTCAATGAAAATGCCTGCCCTTTGCTCTAGAGGAAGACACTGTCTCTATCTTCTAAGGCTGCTTGTGTATGAACATCTTAGAAAAGATAATCTAGAACAAAGGCAGTGAGTACCTCTGCTCATGAGAAGTACAGAAATACACAAGATCCATGAGGAATTACCTCCCAATAAACAGGAGTTTAACAGGACGGTAGAGCATGATATCTTAGCAGAATATATAACATATCTGAATAGCTAGAGTACAGAATACCTTTCAAAGAATGAAGAGGTGGGAGGAGTAGGCAGGGGGTAGTATGTGTTAGGAAGAAAACAATAAACCATAGAATTACATTGGAATTAGATTATTGAGTAAAGAAAAATATAGAATATTAACCTGTGTTCAATATTAATTGAATGAATAAATGAATGAATGAATGAATGAATGACCTGCTCTGTCTCATAAACATAGGGAGCTACCATAATTTTAAATGAAGAGGCAAATGATCATATCTGTCAGCAATGTGACAAAGTCATGACTGTTGAAAGAGAAAAATTTAGGCTCTTTGCCTATAACTAGGCTTTTGCAATAAAAGAGGTTAGGGGATGCCCAGCCTGCCTGCGTGGCTCAGCTGTTGAGCATCTACTTTTGATCCAGGAGACGGAGGTTTCAGGCTCAATCCCCAGCAGGGGGTGAGCAGAAGGCAGCCAATCAAGGACTCTCATCATTGATGTTTCTGTTCCTCTCTCCCTCTCCCTTCCTCTCTCTGAAATCAATAAGGATATATTTTTCAAAAATAAAACAGGCTAGGGGAGGTAAAGGTCTAAACTAAAGGAAAAGTATCCAGTATTGAGAGTTGTTGAATTAATTTAGAAAGAACAACAAAAGAATCTGGTGATCAATTGGATGTGAAAGTGAGAGTTCAAGAATAAATATGAGTTATCTAGCAGGTTTAGGAGGAGAGGGCCGTTGCATAAATGGTGATGTCACTGACTCCAATCGAAAATATAAGAGAAGATGCAAGTAGGAAGTATAAAGAGCTTGACGTTGTGCTTGTTTCATTTACATCTTCAGAAGATACACGTGGCAGATAAGGTAGGATTTCTGAAGCTCTAGAGAGAGAATGAACTGGCAGGAAGTGGTAGGGTCTGAGGTAATAGCTAAAGACAAAAGTGTGAAAGAAATAACCCATTGACAAAGAGAAAAAAAGGTTTGCTTCTATATGGGAAGTGCCAACCTTATTTCCCGTAAGAAGTGAGTGTGGGAAAAGAGAAAAAGCTGGTGAGAATAATTGGGGGGGAAAATATTGGGAGAGGTAAAGAGGGAATCAAGAGAACGATATGCTGAAACCAAGAAAAAACAGTTTCAAAGGGGAAGTGCTTAGCAAGGGGGAGTCCAACTAGATGGGAACTAAAA